ACAAAGCTGCATTTCTCTTGAAAAATGAAGCTCCTAGTTTGTGTGTATCTCTAGCCTGATAGTGGCTGTGCCCTTAAAGTACTTTTCTTAAATTCTAATTGGAGTACCAAACACAACAGAGCTAGGAGAATCAAATTTGCCCACAATCATAGATGCTTTAATGACTGTAAAGGAATGTAGAGTTGGCCATAGGGAAGGTGTGAGAGAGTAGTGAGGCTTTTAAGCTTGATGTCAGCTCTTTGAGGTAGGCCAGGTCAAGAAACAGGTATGGCAGGAATTCTAGGAATGTTCTTTATTGTGGTAAGATAGAATAATAGAATCTTAAAAGCCCATCCAAGTTTCTCTTTGTCTCAAAACCAAGATAGGATTATTTTGGGATTGTATAATCTCTTTTACCAGCTCCTTCCTTCCCTCCTTAATAGCTCTCTTGTACTTTCCCCAAGGTCAGCTCTGCATTTCTTTATAATGACACAGTTAATCCATAGTCTACCAACAGCCAAGACAAAATCTTGGCTAAAGTCATTTTTCTGTGGAATGTATAACTGTACTCACTATTTTGGTTTCTGATCACCTTCAATTGAAAGTTCTCTATATTCTAAATCTCTTGGGACTCAAGAACCCCATACTAAGTGAACACCATTTTATCACTGTATTAATTCACTGTAAACAGTAAAAAAAATCACTGTTTTAATATCACTGTTTTCATTGAAGTTATTGGCTAACTGTACATCTCAAGTATAAGCTAAACAAGTAAGATAAGTATTTAAATAAAGAACAGGAAGATGGGAGAGAGATTAGAAAGAAAGCAATAAAAAGCACAGGGGAGAAAGAGTGAAAGAGAAATATGGAATTACACAATCAAATACCTAAGTGGATTCCACATTTCGTGGCTAAACTAACTGTAGATCAGAAAAATAATATAATTGTCTCAAGAAAAATGTAACACTGGTAGAAAAAAAAATACATACAATAAAGCTTGGAGCTTTAAAAGGCAAAGGCTTGATAGAAGTTTCTATTGGCCCTGTGCTGGTGTTGATCATCATGGTTTTGTTTTCATTCCCTATTTCTGCATTGGTACTCTGGAAAAATACATACATCAATTTGAGGAGGAAATGCAGTTTTATAAAATCCAACCATTAATCTAAACTTGTTTTAGAGTTTTGTTGCAAACTATTACATTGTTTTGCTTGCTGTTAAACTAGTAATCCTGAATGATTTATGTGTAAAAGCAAACTGGGTTCATATCATAACTAAATCATAACATGGCTTATTTGGTTTTGTCTTAGTGTGTTGTATAAACCCAGCCAATGTAATTTGTAAGACATGACACATGATTTAACTTGTTATGGGAGCCCAGTCAACTGCTCAATAAACTATAATTAAACATCATAACTTAGCATAAAAATAGGATGGTTACAGTATTATATGGGCATAATTAAATAGACTGAAAATACTGTGCGGTGGCTTTTGAAAAGGCAGTTGAACTATCAGGGTTAATTTTAATAACACTCTCTTTTAACATTTTTAATAACACTCTCCCCTTCCCTCTAAAAATCAGAAAGTCCTACTGGCAAATACATGAGGTAACTGTATTAATAAAGATAAAGAAGATGGGCTGTAAGTCACTTTCTTTTAGCTGCTCTCTACTAATCTGTAATATTGAAAAGTATTTTACAGTGATTAACAAAAGAGAAATATGCAAAAGTTTCAACTTCTCCCTTCTTCAGGATACTATAACCAATGTGACAGTTATGGAACAAGGAGGATGAAATATTCCAAAGAGTTTTATTTCCTGTAGAACAGCGGTCCCCAACCTTTTTGGCACTAGGGACGAGTTTCGTGGAAGACAATTTTTCCACAGACCGGGGGGGATGGTTTCAGGATGATTCACATGCATTACACTTATTGTGCACATTATTTCTATTGTTATTATTATTTCTATTATTATTATTATTTCTATTATTATTTCTATTATTATTATTTCGGTGGGAGGAAATGCTGGCGGTGCTTTGCGTGGGGATAGGAATCGGTTGCTGGTCCCGCCTAGACACGAACGTCGGAAAGACATGCCGCAACAGAAGATCCGACTCTTCTGCGACTGCCAGCTGGGCTCAGCCCTAGGAAGGAAGCAATGGCAAACCATTTCTGAAAAAACCTTGCCAGGAAAACTGCAGGGACTTGTCCAGGCAGTCTCCGAAGAATCGGACGCAATTGAACGGATTAAAAAAAAAAAATGCTTGTGGGCTTACCAAAACTGTGACTGACACAAGTGGCCAGTGTGGGAAAGAGGCATGGACAGAAGTGGTAAATAAAATAATGGGTGGGCCACGTGCGGAGTAAAATAAGTGTTGGATTCTGAGCACACAACTTAGATCCCTCACATGCGCAGTTCACAGTAGGGTTC